GCAAAACGGTCACAGGGCTGTACTATGCCGAATTACTGGGCCGATTCGACGTCGAAATGCAGAAAAAACGGCCCCATTTGGCGAAGAAAAATGTGCTCTTCCACCATGACAACGCACCGGCTCACACCTCCGCCGTCGCCATGGTCAAATTGGTCGAATTAGGCTACGAACTGCTGCCCCATCCACCGTATTCTCCAGATTTAGCCCCGTGCGACTTCTTTTTGTTTCCAAACTTTAAAAAGTCACTCGCCGGACAGAAATTTGAATCGAATGAGGAGGTAATCGCTGTCACGGAAGTCTACTTTTCAGACCTCGAGGAAACGTATTTTTCAGACGGATTGAAGAAGTTGGAGCATCGCTGGGCGAAGTGTATCGAACTAAAAGGAGACTATGTTGAAAAATAAAACGCCATTTTTCCAAAATTTTCGTTTTTCTTTTGTAGGCTAAGTACTTATCGGACCACCCTCATAAAAGCAAAGAAATGTCAGCAAACTAAGAAGAGCTGAGAAGAATTGTAAACAGTCACAAAAGAAAACAATGAAATCTAAAATTCGATAATTTTTCTGACTTAATAAATATCCAACGAAAACTATGCGCTTTTTTCTTCCAAACATATTAGTGATCATAAATGCATGTATTACACAAGCCGACAAGGAAAAAAACCCAGAAACCAGACAGTACGTTCCCAAAGGTTTTTGGTGCGCTGAAACCGAATCTGACCTCAGAATTGCTCCATCACCCTAGGTTTTCGAGAAATCCTAACCTAAAAGTTCAAAAAACACGATTTTTCACTATATTTCGCGTAGTATTACGTCGTAAGCCAATTTTATTTTAAAAAACGAGTAATGCTATCTCAAAGTACTACTCTTACCCTTCAAAACCCTTTTTTCAGATTTAAAAAATCTTTTTATTCCATCGAGATATCGTAGATTGAATTTGAGTGATTTAGCGATTTCGTTACAGTACGAAATAGTGGCGAATTTCCTAATAAGGAGTTATAGTGTAATTATATGTTTTTTGGGTCACTGAATCCAAATTTAACGTCAGAATGACTCTATAATCTCAATTCCCTTAACCCTTTAGCCCCATAACCTGCGACGCTGTAACCCCTGACCGACTTACTCCAAAGTCCTTAACTCTCGAGCTCTTTAACCTGCTGCGGTATAACCCCCGACCCTCACACCCCAATTTCCTTAACCCTCGAGCCTTTAACCTGCTGCGTTATAACCCCCGACCTTCATACCCCAATTTCCTCAACCCTCGAGCCCTATTACCGCGACGCTACAACCCCCAACCCTCATACTGAAATTCGCTACGCAGAATACCTGAAGCCTCCAAATTATATTCAACCCCCGAGCCCTGCAAGTCTGCAAACGAAATCGCTAAATCACTCAAATTCAATCTGCGATATCTCGATGGATAAACAAGATTTTTTAAATCCCGATGAAAAGGGTTTTGAAGGGTAAGAGTAGTACTTTGAGATAGCATTACTCGTTTTTAAAATAAAATTGGCTTACGACGTAATACAACGTGAAATATAGTGAAAAATCGTGTTTTTTGAACTTTTAGGTTAGGATTTCTCGTAAACCTAGGGTGATGGAGCAATTCTGAGGTCAGATTCGGTTTCAGGGCACCAAAAACGTTTGGGAACGTACTGTCTGGTTTCTGGGTTTTTCCATTTTTTTAATTTTGTCGGCCTGTGTTATTATGAACATTCATACCAAAAAAAAAATTTCTTTAAATGTTTTTTATCCGAAAAAAGTCAAAATCTAAATTATTATAAATACATACTTGAAGATTAGTTCAAAGAATATTGGTTCAAAGAATCTATAAAAAAAAATTCACCGCGAACAAATATGGCATTTTTAAGAAAAAAAATTTTATTTATAGATACATTTTATCTTCCGCAAAAAGTACTGTTGCATATTTTTATCAGGTAATTGTAAAGGCCTCCATTAACTATATCATAAGAAACAAGATTCATTAATTTATATCTGAAAAGGCATACAATTCACGCAATTGAAAGTCAATCGAACAAATGTTTTTTTTGTCGGATTTTTTCATCTTGCATTAAATTTTGAAACTGCATGTATGATGCAAATACTACGCATTTTGGGATGAAAAGAAACATACGGGTCTCCTTATTTTCGTTTAAAACAATAAAGAAATATTCCGAAGTCATTCAGTAACAGGTACCCATGGAGCTCTGCATGAATCGAAATGAAATCGATTCTTATATTTGACCTTGCCTGTGTCAGCTTTATCGAGACGTAACGTGCATGTCGTTTGACGAAGAAGTTTCTTGATATAACAAGTTATTTTATACTAATTTTTTCTATGATTACTTAAAAATACATCAGTATAATTATAATTAATTGAAAGATTAGTATATAAGTTAGGTAATGGCAAGACGGGCGATTCTATGAGCACACTGCGCATTTGTTAATCGGTCGTACACGAGATAGTACCTGGTAACGTGAATACATGATTATTTCCTAATTATATAACTTTGTAACTATAATAAACTACGATTATTATAAAGCAATTATACGTTTTATTTCAATTAATGACAAAAATAATCTTCTTACTATTAACTGTTTGCCTTGTTATGACTCGAGTGGGCAGTCCCCAGTGGTTGGTGAGATTGGGAGAGCGGGAAATTGTATAAATTTCGCTAGAACTGAGACAACGAGAAGTGTGTGTTGAGATGTTTGACGATTTACTAGTGTAACAAAAACGAATAAATAATTCTCTCGTAATTAGTAGTAATAATATTATTTCCCCACCGCCATCTCCTTGTCTCAACTTTCATTACCTTATGGATAATGAAAGATATGATTTTTAAATTTTATTTTGGATTAAAAAATTAACGAGTTATCTTTATTGCAACTTTATAACTCTATTTTTACTATACAAAAAACCGCAACTTAAAATATATGCGTTTTTTTTATGAATAAAATATCCTAGTTTGTTTTATCTGTGGCGTTGTTTTATGCAAGTTTAATCTTTTTAAAATATGGGTGTCTTTAAAATGTCTCGCGAGCTCTATATTTTTGTGAGCACTGGAGAAACCGAAATGTTTTTCTTCATTATATCCTAATCACTTTCTCTATCGGAAATCAAGTTATTGATGAGTACTAATAATTTCAGCAAAATTTAAAAATATAATCTCTTTTTTTAATGGTATACTAACTGCATATTCCTACTTTTATTATCTATATCAATTAGTATTCATGAATTGAATTCATTACTAAGTAAAAATATAAAGAATCTACTATTCAATCTATTTTATAAACGTCCTAGAGTATAATAAAATTCGAATTTATAGACTCTTTTTATGCGTCAACCAAACAAATCAATCACATCGCTGAATATCGATAACTTATGTTATTTTAAAGATAGGTATAATCAATTTGATACTTTAACTCAATAACGTCGACAGGGCGCTTTTTCGACAGCTATGTTTGAGTAGTTGAATACAATGGATTCAAACAAAAAAAAAATTTAGGAACCACTGTTCTGAACGTTTTCGCAGGTGTTATTTTCAGTGTTGTTAGTTAAGTCTCGCAAAAAAAGTTTTACCATCCAAAAGTCAAAAATAAAAAATAACTGAATTTTTCGGTTGAATTTTATTTTAAATCGACGGTTTTTTGATTTTAAAAAAATTTTTTTATATACTCAAATCACCTTGAGAATGAATTTTACGGTTATTTGAAGGTCAACTTTGTTTTTTTTTAAATGGAAACCCCTATTTTTTATCCCGGATTTGGATAGTACGGGAAATTTTGCGTTCAAATCATGTAATGTCGTATGTGTGGAGTCCAAATGACCTCCACCCCACCCCCAGAGTCATTTCGAGGTCAATCTTACTTTTTAAATGGGACCTCTCATTTTTCGTCGCAGGTTTGAATTCTACGTGAAATTGTACGTCCAGATGATGGGATATTTATACGGTTCGAAAAACCCCGCACCCACCCTCAGTCATTTCAAGGTCAACCTTACTTTTTGAATGGGAACCCTCATTTTTTATCGCAGGTTTGAATACATGACTTTGGGGGTGGGGTGGGGGGGGGGGGTCATTCGGACCCCATAAATATTCCATTATCTGAACGTAGAATTTCACGTAGAATTCAAACCTGCGACGAAAAATGAGAGGTCCCATTTAAAAAGTAAGATTGACCTCGAAATGACTCTGGGGGTGGGGTGGAGGTCATTTGGACTCCACACATATTACATGATTTGAACGTAAAATTCCCGCTCTATCTATAGGGGTTCCATTTAAAAAAACAAAGTTGACCTTCAAATAACCGTAAAATTCATTCTCAAGGTGAACACTGATCTGACAAGTAGACTCCACTGTCCTAAAGAACTTTTGTATGAACAATTTTTTCGTACAACGTGAACTTTTTGAGATATTGAGGTCCGTAATTTAAAATGGGACACCCTGTATACGTTTGTCATACATCACAAGAACAACAGTCGATTTAAAATAAAATTCAACCAAAAAATCCAGTTATTTCTTTATTTTAGACTTTTCAATGATAAAACTTTTTTGCGAGACTTTTAACCAACTCCATTGAAAAGAGCACCCTTAAAAACTTAAAGAACAATGGTTGCTAAATGTTATTTGTTCGAATTCATTGCATTGCAATTATGAAACCGTAGCTGTCGAAAAAGCATCCTGTCGACATTAATGAGTTAATCAAATCAAAACTATGAAAGGTTAAATAAAGAAAAATTCTAAGATATACTACATATGTAACGGTAAAGGATTAATTTGCTCTTTATAGCTGTTTATGAAAATCTATTTTTGATTACTAATTCCCTCGGTATGAGCTTACCGACGTTTCGATCTGCAATAACTTTCCTTTTTTTGCATTAATTTGTTAAAATCTTTTTTTTTTTTTTTTTTTGCTATTTCTTCCTTCTAATGTATTAGTATAAACTTCTTACAATAATATATGAGTTATTTGATTGTCGATTTCTATAAAATGTTTCAGGAAATACCTGGTTTGACTGACATCAATATTCCTCGTCGATTAGGACCAAAACGAGCTAGCAAAATAAGAAAACTTTTCAATTTAAACAAACAAGATGATGTTCGAAGATTTGTTGTCAAACGACCCATTCAAAAAGAGGGTAAAAAAGAAAGGTTCAAAGCACCCAAAATTCAACGTTTGATAACTCCCCTGACGTTACAGGTAAATAATTTGTAAGCATTATGAGTATGTGTCAGAAAATGGTTTTATGGGATGCAAAATAAAATGTTATTTTTTTTATTTATCATAAAAAATATAATGACCCTACGTTGAAAGTAATATTGTAACCTACGTTGTAGCCGAGCGATAAAGTAAAATGATGAAATATTCTCTCTCCCCTTCTCTTCATCCCTCACTTTACAGTCGAACCTACGGCACTGCACACTTTCGGGAGTAGCCGACCCAAGGCACTGCACGCTGGCCAGGTACGGGCATATGTAGCACTAAAAGAGCCCCAAAAAAATTTTAAATTTAAAATGTGTAACTTACCACTGCGAGAGTTAAACATAGACTGAACACTGAAGTCTTACTAATAGAAGCTAGAATTAAGAAAAGTAGAGAGAAGAAGTGATCGAAGTCATAAGCTTTAAATCGTTTTATTATCCGCGCCTGCTCAGAGAGACATCACCTGCTCGGTAAAGAGGGCCCCTCCGGTGAGTGGGCTACTAGTGACGGTACTGCGCAGCGTGCAGTTTCTAGGGTATAGAGGCGCGCAGTGACTCGGGCAGTGCAGTGCCGAAGGGTGCAGTGCTGTAGGTTCGATTGTATCTCTTCTCCCTCTATCATGTACATACTAGTAATGTTTAGCGACTTTCGAGCGTTCATCTTTTTCCGCATTCATTTTAATACATGAATATAAATCAGAACTTTTATTGACAAAACAGAAAATTTGAATATTCCATAGGTATTAAATATTTTCTTAATTGATATGAGATACGAGGTGTGTTCAAAAAGTAAGGTGACTTTGTATTTTTAAGAAAAAATATTTATTTATTTATCAATATTTATGTTGTCCCCATCAAAGTAATCCCCCTCAGATACAATACACTTATGCCAACGGTTTTTCCAATCCTCAAAGCACTTCTCATAAGCACTTTTCGGAATAACCTTGAGCTCTTCCAGCAATGCAGTCTTTATCTCTTCAATCGTTGCAAATCTCCGTCCTTTCATAGGTCTCTTAAGTTTTGGAAACAAGAACAAGTCACATGGGGTCAAATCCGGTGAATATGGTGGCTGAGGCATGATTGTGGTGTTGTTTTTGGCCAAAAAATCTCTCACAAGCAAAGATGAGTGTGCAGGGGCATTATCGTGATGCAAAAGTCATGAATTGTTTTTCCACAATTCTGGGCGTTTTCTTCGTATTGCTTCTCGCAAACGGCGCACAACTTCAAGATAATACTGTTTATTGACCGTACGTCCATATGGTAAGAACTCCTGATGCACCACGCCATGGTAATCGAAGAAAACAGTGAGCAAAACTTTGACATTTGATCGAACTTGGCGTGCTTTTTTCGGTCTTGGCTCATCTGGGCTCTTCCATTGGGACGATTGGACTTTGGTTTCGATATCATAACCATATACCCATGATTCGTCACCAGTTATGACCCTTTTGAGTAAATCTGGGTCGTCGTTGACGTCATTCAACAGTTCTTGAGTGATGCTCATGCGACGGTTCTTTTGGTCAATATTTAGCAATTTCGGAACAAACTTCGCTGACACACGTCTCATGCCCAAAACAAAATTAAAAAATTAAAAAATTAGAAAAAATTTCATGGCACGAGCCAAGCGATATCCCAACATCCTCAGCAACTTCTCTGATAGCGATCCGACAATTTTCCAGAACAATTTTCTTCGCTGCTTGAACGTTTTCATCAGTTGTTGACGTGCTTGGGCGTCCAGAGCGAGGCTCGTCATTGGCATCTTCCCGGCCATCTTGGAAGAGTTTGTACCACTTGTAAACATTTTTTTTACTTAGAACAGTTTCACCGTATGCCACTGTCAACATTTCAAGTGTATCGGAGCACTTTATTTTATTTTTTACACAAAATCGATAATCGGAAGTACGTTGCCCGTGAAATTTGAATAGTCACCTTACTTTTTGAACACACCTCGTATAGTCGATGATATTATTTATTGGTGAATAAATATGCAATTATGTTGATATTCAAAATTGACCTAGAGATATTATCAATGAAATATTAAGTTTTTATCACTCCAAGTTCTAAGTTAAAAAATCATTCTTCAAAAGTTTGAAAAACACGAAACAAAATGTAATATAAGTTCTAAGAACATTATAGTTATTTATAATCATATCCTTCACTATGTAAATAACATTCTTTAGTACTTCTTTGTAATTAATACATTTTCAACAAAATTATCCAATACTTTATGTAACTTGATAAAGTCAAAATCCCTATAATATTATATAGTCATAATCTATCGATTTATATCTTTTATTATCTACTTTGTTTAATCGGAACTAAACTTTCACGCAGAGCAAAGTTCAATTAATTTCTATATCGAGGTATCAATTAGATGGGGTTAACATAATTGAATCAATTAATTCATATTAAATTCACGCCAACTATGTTGACACACTTTTCGAACATTGATTCATCTACGAAAATCCGCAGTCATCTTTAATAACATATATATGTATACAGGGTGTCAATTAAGTCCCGGGACGCCTGAATATTTTCTGAAGTACTTCAGTTCTGAAAAAGGTCAAGGTCATTCCTTTAGTAACTTTCAACGCGGAATCCGATGGTGACCTTGGATTTGACCTTGAGATTGACCTTCAAGGTTATTTCAAGGTCAACTTTGTTTTTTTAAATGGGAACCCCTATTTTTGACAACGGCAATCGAAAGAGCGGAAAATTTTACGTCCAAAACGGTATTTTTAAATTTTTTTTCATGGCCTTGAGAAGGTCGATTTAAGGTCAAATGCTTCAAAAACTGCCTAAAAGCGTTTTTTTAATTTTTAAGATATCGAAAAATGACCTCTACAAAATTTGTTCAGAACAGAGTGGGCCACCCAATGCACCAAAAACCTTTGACCTTTAACCTCATTTTGAAGGTCATTTCAAGGTCGAAGTGTTTTTTGTAATGGAAACCCCTATTTTTGACCCCGGATTAGCACATAGCGCGAAATCCGACGTTTGGATAAGGTATTATGTTGAGTTTCGATTGATCCACGACGTTCATCGCTAAGGTCATGTGAAATTTAGATCCAATATTATTCACGAAACATTTACAAAATGTTTCGGGCTAAATTTATTAAATTCTACTGAGAGCATGTTACAGTGACCTTATCTTTGACCTTTGATTGTTTGAATAATAAAGTAACGGGTTATCCAAACCGAAAGTCAAGTTGTTTTAAATGAGGAGCAAGCAGAGACATAGGTACAGTTTTTTTTGCCGGATAAGTTTTTTCCACTCACTGCGTTTTGAATGTTTCTTTCTGATTTCGCGCTATATGCGAATCCGGGGTCAAAAATAGGGGTTTCCATTACAAAAAACACTTCGACCTTGAAATGACCTTCAAAATGAGGTTAAAGGTCAAAGGTTATTGGTGCATTCGGTGGCCCACTCTGTTCTGAACAAATTTTGTAGAGGTCATTTTTCGATATCTTAAAAATTAAAAAAACGCTTTTAGGCAGTTTTTGAAGCATTTGACCTTAAATCGACCTTCTCAAGGCCATGAAAAAAAATTTAAAAATACCGTTTTGGACGTAAAATTTTCCGCTCTTTCGATTGCCGTTGTCAAAAATAGGGGTTCCCATTTAAAAAAACAAAGTTGACCTTGAAATAACCTTGAAGGTCAATCTCAAGGTCAAATCCAAGGTCACTATCGGATTCCGCGTTGAAAGTTACTAAAGGAATGACCTTGACCTTTTTAGAACTGAAGTACTTCAGAAAATATTCAGGCGTCCCGGGACTTAATTGACACCCTGTATATATATATGTATACTGTCTACACTTTATCATGTTCTCTTTTTATATAATACAAGGGTTGTCTGATAAGTTTCCGACATAATAAAGAAACAAGATATTTTGTTTTTGAAAATTATTTTACTTTTTAACGTAGTCTCCTTTGAAGTTGATACAAAGTGATCAACCAATTCGAAGTGCAATTCGTAAATTTTAACCATGGGAATCACTAAAGTGTGAGTTGGTACGTTATTTTGATTTGATAATAAACGTAGTTCTATCTTTTCCTTCAAATGCTTTAACTTTCTTCTAATTTTAGCCTTTATTTATCAGGAAACGAAGCGTAATACTCTCCTGTTATTGCTCTTATAGATCATTTTTGGAGATAATTGATCAAAATAATTCACATTCTCGACTGAGGGAACCATCTTTAACTTTTTCGGAGCAAGGTTATCTTTAATAGTTTAATGTCTTGACCGTTCATTCTTTTCACGAGTATACTGGTAGATGCAGGTTTCGTCTATAGTTATAAATTGACAAAAAAATCAATTCATTTTATAAAACCGCGACAATAAGACTTTAGAAATGCGCTGTTAATTCAAAGTAAATGAACGCAGTACCCAACGCGTAAACAGTTTACGCGAAAGCCCAATTGTTTAGCGCGTGCGCTGTGTGTGGGGGGGGGGGGGGTATATAGTTTTTTAAACAGACCACTTATTTGTGTGTGCCTGTAATATTGATCATGATTTTTACTTAACTTTCACTTTCGTTAAACAGAAATGAATTCATATTCGTGTATTAAAAATGAAAATGATTTTTATCAATCACGTTCTTTTATTAACAACCTGATGGCTATGTTTTCTAATGGAAGGCTAACTTCAACTTTATTTTTTCGCAATAAAGAAACATGACTATTTTTCTAGGATACCTTTTCCAGTGAATTCATCACATTAAAATTAAAATCAGTTTAACCGTTTCATACATATAGGCGATAATACGAAAAAAATTCGTGAAGACAGTCTAACCTCGTTTTTTTTTATGAAATCAGTAAATATACAATATTTCCACCATTTCTAATTATTGTTAACTTCAGTGTATTATGTATCATATATCAACAAAACTGAGAATATAGGTTACATAGAACAAATGAATAACCATATCTTGACACATACACTATATTATGGTAGTAATTATTATCTTAATATAATTATTTAAATTGATTTGTAATTATTATTTTAAAGCGTAAGAGACATCGAATCGCCTTGAAAAAGAGACGCTATTTATCTAGAAAAGAGCAAGCAGCTGAATATGCTAAGTTATTGGCACAAAGACAAAAAGAAGCTAAAGCTAGACGTCAAGAAGAACTAAAACGTAGACGCAGTGCTTCTATAAGAGATTCAAAATCATCTAATCAATCAGCTTCTTCCAAATAAAGTATTGTCACATATACTTTAAGCGAATAAAATATAATAAATTGAATACATTTTGTTAAAAGCTAACATTTCCTTTTCATTCCTGTTAACGATTCCTGTAAAAATAATCTACTTACCAAGATATGCCAATAAATATAAATAATTTTGCTCTTGCTACCATTTATTTTAATGTGAATTCGTCTAACGAATAATTTCAGTTAATTTATATTAATTAATCTTCACCAATGTCCTACAAAGGATCGTCTGCCTCTCGTAGGTTCGCACACTAAGGTCGGAATTCATTAAGCTATTCTTTGCGCATCTACAGTATTTTTTTTTTTTAGTTTTTTAATCTCCTTTTAGCTTGATACACTTTTCCAGGCGTCCTTCAAGTTTTCTTAAAATATCAGAAAAAAATAATATGGAAAGTTCCTCAAAATAGCCATTTGTTTATGTTATGACCTCGTTCGAGTTGAATCATTGTTCGGCAAGCCACTTTTTTAGGTTTGGGAATGAAAAAAAAAGTCACTAGGGGCAAAATCTGTTGAATACGGTGGATGGTCTGTGACGGGCAAAGCGACCGGAGTTCGCTCGCCCTGTTCGCCTCTCTCTCTTTTCCGTGTGCTTTCCCCTGAGCCGCTGCCACATCGGTCTCGGTTGATGAAAACCGAGTATCGACGCACTATGTGGCTTTGTTGCAGGTCTGATTCCTGATCGGCGTAGATGTTTGGCACTGGAGGGACGGAACGAGAGCGGGGAGCAGAGGAGGAAGAGAGAGAGAAATAGTGTCGCCGGCATGAATCGCACATGTGTGCGTAGCCGGCAGCGTTCGGCTGATAAGGTATCTATAGGGAGAGGCGCGGAAGATGTCACGGAAATCGTGAGATCGCAAGAGTAGTACGGCTTTGACCAACAACGAATTCTCAGCTAGATAAGCCTCGCGAAGAGAGAAAGTGCGTGACGTTATTACCAGTGAATTGATATCGAGATTACAAGGCATTGAAGAAGATCAACTGCGCCTCCATCGACATCCACCTTCTTCGAGGACAGCGTAGTCGGGCCAGCGGACGTGGACTCTCTCTCTCTCTCTCTGGTACGTATCACACCTACCTTTTTCGCTCTGCCAAATATCGTCTATACTCACATCATTTTCCTCTTCGGAGTGAAAACAAAACTTTGCAGGCAAATCGCCATCTGCGGCTCTCATAAGTGGGCAACAAATTGCAACTTTTATTGCCATTTTCGAGCCACAGATGCGATTTAACACCGGCGTTACAACAACATAACCTAATACACTACACCGTCTCACACACCAACACAACCAACGCCTAACACGACTGCGCCTCAGCACACCTTCACTTCTACACGCCGTGACTTCTGCACTACCCACTGCATCGGCTGCACCGTGACACTACCACATCAACACAACGCATCCTGCAAATCTCCTAGTCACCGTAGCCGTCGTCAATTACACCTTGCCTACATGTAGGGAGGGAGAGAGAGAGAGTGGAATTTTGATCATAACCCGTGAATGTTTAACGGTACTCCCTGGGTGTCGCTTACATAAATTCGCTCGACCATACCCGGAGCATTATGCATGTTCAATAAAAACACTCTGTACTGCACATAGCTTTATCGCCGAGTCATGCACATGTAAGGTTATGTTCGCGCTCTGTTCACCGGTCTGTTCATCAATCCAGTCGGTAAATGCGACTCCCACCAGATGCCGCTAGTCGCAAAAATCCACGCGCGATTTTGAAACCTGAAATTCGACTGTAGCAGATTCGCTCTTCCTTGTTCTTTGTCAAGCTCTCTACAGTCGAAAATTTCTCGTCGTTCGCATACGTATAGTTTCTCTATGTCCGCCGCGTGTGCTAAGTGTAATCACCTGCTTCGTCGTGCCGATAACACACTACTCTGCTCCGATTGTAACACTCTGTATCACGTTGATTGCGTCTCGCCGTCTCTTCGCCCAAAGAAGTCTGAGTCATTTATCTGTCGTCGACACGTGCTGGTCAGCAGTACTGACTCTTCCCCAGACTCTGTAGTATCAGCCCCTCACCTGTCGTTGACCACGCCCCTGTTGACAACGCCCCTCATCAGTGAAACCACGCCGATATCGCTATTGCTCGCCTCCAAAAAGCGCTTAGCATCACCAAGCCTCGCTACCTCTCGCGCTGCCAAACTCCGTTGCAACTCGTCACCTGTGCCTCTCTCTGGACATACCCCTATCTCTCCCACTGAGCATCATTCAGAGCTGTCAGAGTTGTCGCACGTACCAGTCGCTGCACCCACGTCATCGGAATACCCTGCTGATCCACCTTGCTCCACTATGTCTGATCAACCCCCTACTTGGTTCAGTGACTACGTCAATGATGGTAAAAAAGAGAGGGACCTTGATCGGGCTACCGCACATGAGCACTACGTCTCGCTCGCGGACTACATGCAGCGCTACACACAGCGCTCAGAGGTTGTCGAAAGGCTCGCTGTGCATACTGACAACCCCGAGATCATGGTTCGCGGCCTGCCCCGTCAGTTCACCGGCTCACTCTACGACGCTGCTCGTTTTCTGCTCAGCGCCCTCGGCTTCGGCCATGGCCACGACATGCCTACCATCGAAGCTACGCGTCAATGGAATCTAGCTGCCCATTCCCAAAACTCCGAACCTCTAGTTGATGCCGTAAATGGCCTCCCTCCCTCAGCTCATGACTCCTCAATCATTTTCTCCTTCTGCCTCTCCTCCACGGCTTCGCGTGACCGCGTCATCGCTGCCTCTGGTCGCCTCCGAGAGCTCTCTGCTCAGTCGATCTTTGGGTGCGGTGGAAATGCTCCTATCTACGTACGCCCTATCTATCCGAAACCTATCTTCGAGCTTTTTACCAAAGCTCGTCTCACTTGCACTGCACTTGGCTATCTTCGTCCAGTCGTTCGGAACCTCCGTGTCTTCGTCCGCCAAAACCTGGATTCGGAGTTCATCCCCATCATCACTGAAGAAGACTTGCAGAACCTGCAGCCAAACCCTAACCACCATGGAACTGGCACCCTGAATGCTGTCACCCCCACACGTGGCTCTAGGCCGCAGATCCCCCGCCAATCCCAGCGTCCTCATAATCGAGCCAAAGCCCAGCAGCCTCGCGTGCAACTACCTCTCTCACAGCTTCACCCGCTACCATTGCGAACTCAACAATCGTACCCCCCGCAACAGTATTTGCTCCCACCATCCTACCCCCAACAACAACAGCAACAACAACAGCAACCCCAAACCCAACAGCAACAACAACTGACAAATCAACAACAACAGCATTGGCACCAACAACCGCAATTTCAACAGCAATAGCATCAAATTCAACAACAACCTCAACTACAACCTCAACAATCCCAGTATCAATTGCTACAACCCCTCCAACATCAGCTCTTGAATCCACCATACCTTCAGCAAACATTCGCCAACCCACCAACTCAAAATCTACGCAAAAACCCTTCCCTTCAAAATCCAGTCAACCAACGGCGCCCACCACTACAACAACCGAATCTTGCCCCTCATCAAACAAACGAGCAACAACAGAAAGCACGCGGCCGCAAACAAGCTTACTTCGCACCACCCATTGCCCCCCCCACTCCAACCAACCCCTTTCCCTCCGCCACCCCCTTTCTTGCAATCCTCACCGAACTCACACCAGTCACAATTACCCCTCGTTGAGAAATCGCCAACACAAACCACCGTTCCACACTCCTTATCTGCTCTGAGCGTTAACGCTGTTGGGCAGAATGAGCCCTCTGCTATGGACACCATCGATCCCTCAGCATCTCGTCTTGATGTCTCAACTGACCACTCACCAGCACCATGACCCACGACGCCCTGCGTCCCGCCACATAACCCACCCCGGATTTTCACTGTTGCCCATGCAAACGTAAACCGTCTCAACCATTCCGGCCACTTTGCGCTACTCGAGGACAGGCTTTCAAATTTTAACTATGATGTCGTAGCGCTCTCCGAAACGTTCCTCAAAGACTCTATATCGGACTCGCACCTGTCACTTCGCGGCTACAACCTTTACCGACACGATAGAACGCTGAAAGAAGGAGGAGGTGTCGCTCTGTACGTACGTGATGTATTCAATGTTAAAATCCTTGCGAAATCACAAGCGTGCGACTACAATCTTTGTGAATTCCTTGCGGCCGAAATAAAGCAAAATCACTACTCACTCCTCGTTGTAGTCGCTTACCGTCGCCCATCTGCCGTTGCTCCCCATAACCTTTTTCAGACTATCCCTATTTTGCTCCCGAACTATCATGACGTGATAATCACTGGCGATCTGAACACGAACCTGCTATCTGACACACTACACTACGCTGCAGCACTCCAGGATCACATTGACCTCTTCGGCCTCAAGGTAGTGTCGCGTCTGCCTACCTGCCACCGTTTTCAGGAAGATCGCTCGTCGCACACACTTCTTGACCTCTTTCTGGTAAAGGACACCATGGACATTCACTCGTTCTCAAAAACTGTGGCTCCCTTCATTGACTGCCATGATCTCATCGAGCTTGCAATCTACGCTACTGCTCCCCCTGACGGTGACAAACTCATCCTCTCCAGGAACCTTCGAGCTGTTGACCCCTTAGTCTGAACTCGCTTGTTGCAGGCTGCTTAGCCTCTGCCTGCCTCAGCGCTGCCCCCTCAAGCTTAGTGAGCACGGAGATCTCTCAAGTTTCCATCGATGCCTTCGAACGCTCCCTATCGTCTTCTGTCCTTCACGCGTTCGACGCCTTGGCACCATTACGCACACTTAACCTATCTGAAAAGGCTAAACCCTGGGTTACTGCAGATATCCGCATCCTCATGCGTGCCAGAAACGCTGCCTTCAAGCGCGCAAAAATCTCGCCATGCCTTGGGAACATTCAGAGATATCGTGATCTTAGAAACCGAGTCTCCAATAATCTGGACACGGCCAAGAACACGTATCTCTCAGCTAGACTCGCCACTGCTAAAGACCCCAAGGCAAAATGGCGTGAGCTTCGTTCTATCGGTATCGCTCAAAACCAAAAACCCTCACCGCTATTGTTTTT